ATAAATTCGTAATGGAACTGATCGATCGATGGATGGATGGATAGATGGATAGATGGATAGATGGATGTATGATAAATAGAAGCTAGAGATGGTAGGATTATAATAGATAATGTTTTTCGTATTTTAAAAGTATTAATTTTTCTTCCACTCTTTTCTACTGAATCTTTTGTTTTCTTTTTTTTTTTTTTTCATGAATTATTTTTCATGCGTGTTATTTTTCCACAAACACTCGTTGATATACTTATTATAATAAATATTATATCCAAACGAAAGAAAATTCCCATTAGCCAATGAGTTAAAGATTTCTCGTTTCTTTGTTTACATAACATTTCATTTAATTCCACTCATTATTCTTATTATATATATATATATATATAAACATATACATATATATATGCATACATATCACATATTATAATATATATATGTGTGTGTATAAGTTTGAAGTGAATAATTTCACGTTAAAATTCGACGTGACTTAACGCGCGTGACCACGCCAACAACAACCATCTAACCGCCGCGTTATCAAAACGAGAAAAACCATCGTCTCGCATGATAAGAAGAGGAAAAAAGAGGAAGAGAGGGATCGATAATATTCGATCGATCGATCGATCTTTCGTGGATCGGTAGAGGAAAGGAAACGAAGGAGGGGCTTCGATCGAGGAAGCGCGTTGGTGCGCACCGACCGACCTTCCACCTTCAATCTTTTTATTTCTTTCTTTCTTTCTTCTTTCCTTCTGTCTCTCTCTCTCTCTCTCTCTCACACTGTCTTTATAAACTTTTTTACCTGAGTCTAATAATTTCACTTAAAAGAACAAAATAAATAACACACACCCGAGAGACACTTTTACGATGGACAAATTATTTCTAATTAAAAACAAACACTTATCGTTATAAATTCAAAAATCTTGAATTAATCACAAAATAATAATAATAATAATAATAATAATAAAAGAAAAAGAAGAAAAAGAAAATTTCAGAATGATGATCTTTTTTAAAAATGACACACGGCCTTCGAAAATATTCGCTCGATAATCAACGTCGTATTGTCTATCTCTTTCTCTCTATTTCTCTCTCATTCTCTCACACATTATACACAAAAAGAGAGAGAGAGAGAAAGAGACACGTCGTTACGTATACACTAATAATACTACACATAAAGATGCATGTATATAAACGTAAAGTTGTCTTCTTCTTTCCTTCTCCCACCAATGGGAAGAACACTGTTGTTTGTCTTGGTTGGTTGGTTCGTTGGTTGGTTGGTTGGTTGGTTGGTTCGTTGGTTGGTTGGTCGTGCGCACGCGAGAACCGGGCTCCGCGGCAAATCCTCGACAGGAGAGACGAAAACCTGAAGCAGGCGAACCTGCCGCACGGCCTGCATGCACTGACTCTCTTCTATCCGTACGACACGACGGAACCCGAACCCGCTCTCTGTGTACGAACTCGTGGAAGGCTATACACGAGAGAGCGTGTTCAGGGCCGTATCAATACTATTTCAAACTAATGCCAATATTATAATATACTTGTGTCTATTGGTATATCTGTAATTCATTAAAACTCTCATTCTAAAATATCATTTTTGTATCCTTTTGTATGTATGTATATATGTGTATATTCTTACAATTAATACAAGTAAAAAGTATTTCTTCAGACTTTATTTGTTTTTCTTTTTAATTTTCACATTTATCCGCTCAATTAAATGATTTGTTTTTTTAAAAAAAAGTATTCGTAATTGATTTTTGTCAAACGTTTCTAAAATTCGTTCTCAATTGTTCCTACGTCATATGGAAAATTTTAAATGACGAATAATTATTATTATTGTATTAGTTATAATTAACTAATACATTTTTTATACGACGATATTCGATTCGAATAAATATACTGATACGATTAGAATTTAACGAATTTAAAGATCTAATTGTAAGAAATTGTATAAAAAAAAAGGCGATTTAATGTTCGGTTAGATAAATTTTGTTGTTTATGGAATACCGATAGATATGGCGGAAGAGAACGGCCTCCTCGGGAGAGATTGGTAAGATGTTTAAACGTTATTCAGAGGGGGTCTTGACCCATTCTTGATTCGATTCTGGCTATAGTGTGGTAGTCTAGACTACGCGCCGTGCTACGATCCGCCAACTTTACGTTCGTGCGAGTAAGTACTCTCTAGAGCCTTCCCTTCCTTCCTTCTTCTTCTTCTTCTTCTTCTTCTTCTTCTCTTCTTTGGATGAACGTGTGTCTATGGTGTGCGTAAACTGTGTACGTACAAATGGATACAGTCGAAGAAGCTACGTGGAGAAAGAATACGGTTTGTTCCCTCTCCCAAGATGACAACCGCCGTAAAATGCTCTTCTCTTCGTCGAGGCATCTCCATGTATATGTATGCACGCGTATATGTACGTGTATGTATATTATTCATGCTTATACAAGCGTGTGTGTATGTATATATGTGTATTAGTATCAAATATATCGAATGAAACCAGGTGTCTTTCCAACTTCCAAAAATATGTTTTACTCAAGTACGATATATTATATACACCGAGAATGAGACCTTATCTAGACTCACGAATACTTTTTTGGAGTCACTCCAAAAACAGCATTCTTCGTTGTAACGATGAAATGCGAACGATAGAGAAGCAGCACATCGTCCCGAGCGCGCCCGTTCCTTAACATTTATTTTTAGTCCACCACTGATCTCACTTTTGTGCTTTCCTGAACGGGTACCATACCACATATATCGATAATAAAAACAACAATTTTTAGTTTACGAAATAATACGAGAAAACAACGGAGAGAATTACTTTTTTTTTCTTATTATTTTTAATTATTGCACACAGTGTAATTAGATATTTGGGTAAATTTTTTAATGACTTTTAGGTATCGACGAATTCTTTTCTTTTATTATTATTATTATTATTATTTTTATTGTTGTATACGAATACATTACATCTGGAGAATATGAAAGTGAAGCGGCGTTATAAAACACGACTACTTTGTTTTAATTCGTTTTTATTACATCGTTCAAAATTACCGCGCGTTCTCGTAGCGCGTCATTTGATCAGATGCGCACGCTCACGCGGGAAAATCAATAATTATATAGTTATCCAGAAAGAATTTAGTTATAATGACCGATAATATTTATAACATTAATATTATATATTAATTAATTAATGTTTAAAACACTATTGTAAAGTATATATTAGAAATTGTACGATTAATTTATGTTTTAAAACTTATTCAAAAACAATTCAAAAATAATGTAGATTATTATTACAATAAAGCAATATTTAAATACAAAAATATTATAAATACACTATTAAATAGTAGTGTTCGAAAAGTTATAGTAGAGTAACGTTTTTTAAAAATTGACTCTATATATAAGATAATGAAAACTTATGACTGTAATAAAAATGATGTTATATTGACTTATGAACATAACTATCAAGTTGCTGAGGAAGTCTCAAATAGAGACGAAACGTTCAACGGATAAATATAGTGTTCATCTTAATTAAACCCGTCCAAAAAACAACCTCCCTAAGAGTAAACTTAGTAATAATTATAAATACAATGATATTTTATTGAATTATTAATTTTGTGTACACTACTTGCTATTAAAAGTTACTAGGAGTTAAGCAAGTTTAGAATTATTGAAATTCTAGTAATATAGCTAAGCCGATATCGGTAATAGTAGTGCTCTACATTTATCTTACCGACGCCAATAAAAAAACCGTGAAAAATAAAGAGAGCAATTAAGGATTTTTAATGAGCAATTAGTGAGAATTAAGAGCAATTATTCATTTCTTTCTGCGGTGAAAATATTTCTACTATCGGTAATTCTGATGGTAAGTTACCATCAGATCTCGGTCGGTAAGATAAAGGTAGAGCACTACTATTACCAATATCGGCTTAGCTATATTACAAGAATTTCAATATTTTTTAAACTTTCTTATTTCCTAGTAACTTTTAATAACAAGTAGTGTACACAAAGTGAATGTGTAATTAAATTCTATATACATTTAAAAGGAAACAACAATTAAAAATCTAATATAAATATTTTGTTTTAATTATTAATTAAAGGAGTTTACTCGTTTAGAACGATTGTTTTGAAACAGGTACAGAAAAAAGATTAACTAGATTTAAAAAAAACCGATATCATATTGGAGCTAGAAAGACCGGAGAAAAACGGACAAACAAAAAGTCAGCAATTGATTGAAAACAAAAAACAATAGAAAACTTCATTGCTTTGCTTAGAAATGAGAGAAAACGTTTTTGTTTTTTTATTCATTACTAACTAATATAAATAGTTAATTGATATAGTGTGCAATTATAGATTTTAAATGTGCAAATAAGAGCACTTATTTATGTTTTTCTGCTGTTAAGATTCCTTGCCAGCGTTCCTGCGTTTTGGATATCTGTTTTTGTTCAAAAAGCTCAAATATCGTATTTGCTTCTGCCCGGAAATTAAACTGACTTATAAGACATAAATGATCCTAAGAAAATATATATAATTTAGAGTAAAGTATAAATAATAACTGAAAGATATTAAACATATTTTAAAATTTTTTATATTAGAATATTGTTAGAAAAGTTTATTTTGTTATAAATAATGTTGCATTAAAACAGCCGTAAACAATATTATATTATTACTACTACAACCGGAAATTAATTTAGAAGAGAGGGAACTACTGTAGCATGTTTCCTTCTGTACCACGTGCGATACTGGCGCCAAAAATATTTAAAAAAAAGTTTCTAATATTTTATAAATGAAATTAAACGTTGTCCTGTGCTCTATATTACATGCATTGATTTATAATTAAAATAATTAATATTACATCGCATTTTTTATATAAACGAACAAGATCTTAAAAATGATTCATTTGGAATTTTTAAATTTACTTTATTTGTGCAATCGAACATCGCATCTTTTTTGTATATCTCGGAAAAGATGGCAGCACTATATTAAATTATGACGTATTTCCTTCTTTCTGTTCTATTCCTCTTAGTTGAGAAACAAAATGGTTGCTTAGAAGCGTGACTGTTAGGATTGCAACGTCATAAATAAATGTTTTAATTTGATAATATTAAAGTAATTATTTTAAAAATTATAACAAAATGACTGCGATTCCAGGAACTGTGGCATTCGATGAATACGGTCGGCCGTTCATCATTTTAAGAAATCAAGAAAAACAAAAACGATTAACCGGCGCTGATGCGGTCAAGGTATGAACACCATTATGGAATAATAATTTTTTATACTATTTGTAACTATCATTTAAATATATTTATTCAATCGAGTATTATTATTATTAGATCTTTTGATTTATAAAAAGTGTATGTAATTCAATTCAGATTTGAATATTTATTCAATAATAATCAACTACGTAACGAGAACAATGGCGGCATTTGGGCTCAGCATTATTCTGAGAAATTAAATTATTATTTAATTACTATATATGAAATTTCATTTTTTACTTTCGAACAAACTTATGCGAACGAGTTGAAACATTTACTTATTTTATCAATTCACTTTTTATTAATATCCTATTTTCTTTCTTTTTTTTGATAAATGTGCACTCACGCATAAATTAGTGAGACCTTTTTATGCCCATATAAGGATATCTGTTTGTTATTCATAAAACTCTTGTTTCCTTTGAAAACTCTTTTAATTGATATTTGTTAGCAGTCGTTTGTAATCATGAATTAGTATTTAAAAAATGAAATATTAATTAATAACTATTATTTATTTTCAGTCACATATTTTAGCAGCACGTAATGTTGCTAATACTCTCAGAACTTCATTGGGACCAAGAGGTTTGGATAAGTTGATGGTAAGCTCAGATGGAGACGTTATGGTAACCAACGATGGAGCAACTATTTTGAAAAATATGGATGTAGATCATGAAATCGCTAAATTGATGGTCCAATTATCTCAATCTCAAGATGATGAAATCGGTGATGGTACTACTGGAGTAGTTGTATTAGCTGGAGCATTGTTAGAGCAAGCCGAACAATTATTAGACAAGGGTATACATCCGATAAGAATAGCAGATGGATTTGAAATGGCTGCTAAGTGTGCTACAGATCATCTTAAAACTATTACACAGAAGTTTCCAAAGATCGATGAAAATATTGAACCTTACATTAAAATCGCTATGACATCTCTTGGCTCTAAAATGTAATTATTTATTTTGTTAAAACTATTATTGTTGAAAACTATATATATATATATATATATATATATATAATGATAATATTTAGATAACTATAAATTAAATAAATGATGTCTTTTTTTCTAGTATCAATAAGTGTCATAGGCAAATGGCAGAAATTGCAGTAAATGCTGTATTAGCAGTTTGCGATTTTGCTACAATGGATGTTAACTTTGAATTAATCAAAGTTGAAGGAAAAGTTGGTGGTAGATTAGAAGATACAGTATTAGTACATGGTGTAGTTATTGACAAAGACTTCAGTCATCCTCAGATGCCGAAGGTAATACTCATGTGATTTATGAAATATAAATAATCTTTTTACACTTTAATATAATTTAATATATCTCACATTATATTTATATAATATTAATTATTTATTCTAGAGGCTAGAAAAAGTTAAATTAGCTATCTTAACTTGTCCCTTTGAACCTCCAAAACCCAAGACAAAACATAAGCTTGATGTTGCCTCTGTTGAAGACTACAGAGCATTACGTGAATATGAAAGAGAGAAATTCACAGAAATGGTCAAATTGGTACAGGATGCTGGTACAACGCTAGCCATTTGTCAATGGGGATTCGATGATGAAGCAAATCATCTTCTTTTGCAAAATAATTTACCAGCAGTTAGATGGGTCGGTGGTCCAGAGATAGAAGTAAGCTTTTCTACAAAGTAATAACATTTTTTCTTTTTTTTTTTTAAATCTTATTTGCCCGATGATGACAAAGCATACTGGAGGAGGTGCAAGAGTTTGGAAAATTGTTTAACTTTAATTCATATGATCTTTGCATTTTTATATCAATTGATGTCAAATTGATTGATATAAAAATAAAAAGATTATTATTTAATTATTTATTCAAGGCTTCTGCTTTTGCGATGTCTCTGATGACTATAAGATTATGAGATCTGAGGGCTTTTTCTCTTTTACATGTTCATACATCAACATATTGTTATTAATATAAATTATACAAAGATATAATGATTTCTAGTTAATCGCTATTGCAACTGGTGGTCGTATCGTTCCAAGATTCGAAGAATTAACACCTGAGAAACTTGGTTACGCGGGTGTCGTGAGAGAATTATCTTTTGGTACAACCAAAGATAAAATGCTTGTTATCGAAGAATGTAAGAATTCTCGAGCAGTAACTATCTTCATACGTGGAGGCAATAAAATGGTAAGAAACTTTACTAACGTTATGTTTATAATAATTATAATATATATGATTCATGCAAGGAGAATTTCAGTTGTGTCTTTTATACATTTTACTGACCAGACACCTTGCAAAATCAACGCATAATATGAGTTTAATATAGTTCAATGTATCTTAATTTCATTGATCAAATTTGTTCATCATGCTACAATTTAATATTTAAAATTACAAAATATTCATGATTTAAACAAAGTAAATATATGAAACTTTACATTATTTGTTCTTTTTTTATTAGATCATTGAAGAAGCTAAACGTGCTATTCACGATGCATTGTGCACGGTACGTAACGTTATTACTAGCCAAGATAGAAAGATCATATATGGTGGCGGTGCATCAGAAATTTCATGCGCATTGGCGTGTGCATGGCAAGCTGATAAAATAAGTACTTTGGAACAATACGCGTTCCGTGCATTTGCTGAAGCTTTGGAGACTATTCCTATGGCCTTGGCAGAAAATTCCGGACTATCTTCAGTAGATTCGCTTGCTGAGATTAAAGCTCGACAAATAGCAGAAGATAATCCTACATTAGGAATCGATTGTTTAAATCGCGGTACAGCAGGTAATTATTTTTCTTTATATTCTACATCTTTATGTGTGTAATCATTTAAAAAAAAAGAAAATTTTTAATTTAAATTAAATTTCAATATTTACAGACATGAAGGTGCAAAATGTTATCGAAACGTTAACAAGCAAAACTCAACAAATTTGTTTGGCAACTCAATTAGTCAAAATGATATTAAAAATTGATGACGTACGTTCACCGAACGATGCCGGTGATGTAGCCTAAAAGTAATAAACTAAATTTTTTTTACTTTTCGAGCATATTAAATATTGTTCTTTGTTAACAATTGCTTCATTCACTTGTATATTGTGTACTCCTAATTTATGTTTCTCCCATGATCACAATATAACATAAATGTTTATTTATATGATAATAAAAGAAAATTACGATACTATTGTTTTTTGTACTTGCTTTTCGTTTGTTTTTTTTTTTTTTTTTTCTAACAATAAAATTATTTCGTTTATATACAGGATGTTTAAACAAAAAAAAGTAATAAGTATGGATTAAAATATTTTACATTACAGAGAAATTTTACCTTGCATAGGTAAATGTGGCTGCATTTAAATATTTCACATTTTTATGTACACAAATACAATATTTTTACTTATTATTAGTAATAATAATAATAATAATAATAATAATATAATATCGTTTAAAGAGAAAACTATGGTATTATTATGATCAACGAATTCATTTATTATTTTCATCGCGCGTAGGAACAAATAAATCGTTTTCTTTTTCTCTTTTATTTTCACATCGAGGTAAATGTATTTTTTAATCACGTAAATAGATTGATTTATTATAGATCTATAACATTTTGGAAGTATTACTTTACTTTTCCAATAATTAATTAATTGGATTGATTCATTCATCGACTTTTCCTATTGAATGTATTATTCGTTTTACGATGCAAAATAATGAAAAAAAAAAAAAAAAAAAAAAAAGAAAAGACCAAATTACGAGTATGAGAATATGGGAGAATATGGAATTATGCCGTGTTTTTGTTAACATCTACTCTTAAAATGGCACAGAAAGAAATTAATCGCTTGTACACTTTTTATAAATTATAATATAACAACATTATATTCTTCTCTCTCTCTCTCGCTCTCTCTCTCTCTCTCTCTCTCTCTCTCGCTCTCTCTCTCTCTCTCTCGCTCTCTCTCTCTCTCTCTCTCTCTCTCTAATTCTCCCTCTCTCTCACACAATAACTCTTTCGTATCACAAAATATACAATCTATTCCAACATAACGCGTTACATATCTTCTTTCTTTCTTTCTCTCATTTGCATTTCCTCTTTTTTTTTTTGTTTCTTTTTTTTACATATTTAATTACAATTCCAACATATTTCCTACAACATGTGTGTATGTGTGTCTGTGTGTGATGCAGGATCCTATAACGATTGCTATTAAAGTACAACAAGTTTGTACCGATGAATAATGCACTCGCAATCTTTGAAACGTCATCGATCGCAAAGGGAACTAATATTTATAATTAAATGGAAAAATCAAAAAAAATAGTGGCAACAATTAGAGACTATATTATATTAATTAACGTAGTCTCGGATATCTTCTTTCACTTATGCATATAATATATGTGTATTATGCATGCATGCACACATGCATTTATGTATGTATGTATGTATGTATGTGTTATCTAGCACGAATAAATATTATTTATTTTCACCTAATTTTTTTTCATCTTGCATCATAATATATTATACATTAACTACTAAAACTTAAAAGGTTGTTTTGTAATAACATGCGTTTTAACTTTAACAAAATATAATACTTTCTTCTCTTCCCTCCTTGAACACGCTACGTTACGTTTTATTTTTTGTATTTTTCCCCCCGTTTAAACGTGGACGCGACTTCGATTATAATTAGAATTATACCTTCGTGTGAAGTATAAATTAGATATTGAGTAAAAAAAAATCTGTATATGTGTATATTTATAAAATGTGATACTAATAAACTCATTTCATGCGTTTACTAACGTAACTAGAGTTTCAGTGTATCACTAGGATTGTTTTAATAAATAAAATAATAGAACGTATCTTCTCGTATAATAGTAATAATAATAATAATAATAATGATAATAGTAATAGTAATAGTAATTAACTAAAAGTTAGAAGAGTAGGAAGAAGAGATCATTCTCCCCTCCTCTCTTTCTCTTTCTTTTTTTTTCTCTTTCTCTCTCTCTCTCTTTCTCTCTCTCTCTCTCCCTAGAGAATTGTATTGCCAATGTAATTAGATCTTCTTAAGTATTGGTAGTTGAAGCACATCTGGAACTTCGACGTCTTCCAAGCGAATGTTCGACGGATTGAATGGAAATCTTATTGGATAGGTGTACTTTAAGTCCATTAAAAGCTGAAAGAAGCATGCATGGTTTTGTTGTTGTTGTTGTTGTAATATCCAGGTCACACTCTTTGACATATTAAATACGTATTTACATATATATTGTTAATATACATGCGTAAATGTAATTACCTGTTCGTTGTTTTCTTCACGTTTGGCCAATTCAGCCTCTACTTTTCTAATAAATGATACCGGTACTCGCGTTTCGAAGTCATCCGCCGGCGTATACAGATTTAATATTTTAACTATTTGATTGGCCGTTAATTTGTTACACATTTCGCATACGGAATGCACATCCGCGTCTGATTTTCGTGCTTGTAAAAGTTGTGCCGCTTGGATGATCGGCTGAAGTGCTTCGGCAGCAGCAGTTACACGTTTATCTCTACCCCATTGTTCCAAGTGACTCAAATTATACCTAATAATCAAAGTTATGATAAATTAGATTATTTTGTTTAAAAAATCCCATTCGTCTCGAGTTTTCAGAAATGAACAATAATAATATGTTGTTATTTAAATGAAATAAATTAATCGTCATAAATTTTCTGAACGAATGAACAGATTGATTATAATCATAACAAATTTTGAAATAATGAAACATAATCAATTACCTGATTTGCATTCCTTTGGTCCAATGGCAAAGCTCATTTCTCAATAATAAATTATTCAACGCGCTTGCGCACATAAAATAAAATAATTGTTTAAACAATTGAGTAATTATTTCTGGATCTACGCCGTGATAAAGTAAAGTTTTGTGCACAGAACTAAGCTCGTCGAGGAGTTTTTCAAGCTTTTGCTGGGTAGAATCCGGCTCCTCGCCCATGGACGACGAACGGGGACGACCTGGTTTGTTTGAATTCAATCCAGAAATCGCCTCGTGCTCTAAAAGCGCCGGTACCGTAAAAGCTTGAATTCGCTCCTTCAATGTTGTCACAATGTTATTGAATATCCATAAACCAACGTTACTTAATACGGTCCTATATTCGCTTAAATCGAAATTCCTTAAGCACTGATCGTTTTGCCTAGGCGTATTTTCTATTTGGAACGGTTTATCACCGGAATATTGTTTCATATTGTGCAACAATCGTAACGTATTGCTCAACCATAAAACGCTGTATTCAAAATCCTCGCGTTTTTTAACGATACGTTTAACACTGTTCAAATAAGCGGTTAACAATGATCGAACTTTGTCGTCGTCGTTGATGCAATCAGTGTGTCTTATACACATAAAAATGATGTAAGCTGGTAGGCCAGGTAACAAAGCAACCGCTACTCTTGGTTTTAAATCTAAACAAAAATTCGAAAATTATTACAAAATATGATATAGAATTTTCATTATAAAATTTGTCCCCATTAAGATTTTTGTCGACAACAGATATTTAAATTGATTACTTACCGATAACTAAATGTCGTATTATCACACCAATATCTTCCTTTCTAAATTCGAACATTCCTTCGTAATCTCTTTCCTTTTTACGAATAGCTGGCATAATCGTTCCATTGTCACCTGACGAATGAGTCGTCGATGTAACGGTATTGGAATCGTTGGTTGATTCTATACTGTCTGGTACTGCAATATATATATACGTGTATTAGATATATGAAATATTAACTATAACACATACAAAAAAAATTATCAAAAGAAAGAAAAAAGAAAAAAACATAAATCTTCTAGACGATATTATAAGTGATCATTATCTTTTTGATGTCATCTACAGGTGAGTTGTGGTCGGCATGAAACGTGATATCGGATGATATGAATGATTCATCAAGACCAACTCACACTCACCAGTATTTTTTAGCATATAAGGACGATCCTTATGTTCCTTAATATCGTCTCCTTCGTCTTTTTTGATAGCATTAGAATAAAATAATCTTAAATCTTAATACTAACAACACACTAAACCTATTCGAATACTAATTTTATATTTGATTTAATTAATTAATTATTATGTAAAAAATGAATTTTACTTACATCCCGCATCTTTGAGAAGTTTAGCTAAGATTTTGCATTGTTTCTTGAACCTCCTACATTCCTCCGCTATTTTATCGTATTTTTCTTGAAGATCCTACGATATAAATAATAATAATAATAATAAATGTTTATTTTTGAAAAATTATTCTTTAATTTAATTCATCCCATCTAAAGTAGGATAAATAAAATTGAAATGAATATTTAATTGATTACCAAATTTTCAGAAATCACTCTGGTAATTTCGTATTGCATGTAAGCCTCAGTTTGCGTTTGCGGTGATTTGCTCAAATTGACCGACAACAATTTCTGTTGCTTTTCAATTTCTTCTTGCAATCTGTCGATCTCTCCTCTCCATTCGTCCCTTTGCGTTCTCCAACCTTTCTCTTTGGCTTGCAATTCGTCTTCTAATTGCCTTTGAATAAATTCGAATAAATTGATATAAGATGGGGAAATATGTTTCTTTCAATTTAACGAGAAACGATTTTTCTTTTCCAAAAGAATTATTCAATCGGCTAATATTCCTTTTTTTTTTTTAATTTAAAATCGCATATATACATCTCTTTGTTTATTCCAAATTTATGCAATAAATTACTTTGTATTTCATATCTTTTTACATATCTTTCGATTGAATAATTCAACTAATTAAATATAAAACACATGTCATGTCTAATGTTTCGCGTCAAAGAATCTACTCAACTCACTCTCTTGATGCCTTTCGCTTTGTCTTAAGTCTACTGAGAAATCGAATAGCATGCACAAACGACAAAACACGAATTAGAAACTATTAGACACGAATTACCACGAAAGAAAATTCAATCTTTTATATATATATACACATATATATATATTTATATATATGAATGACATTTATATAAAATTCTAAGATTAAATTACCTATTTATTTTCTTCTGTGCTTCGAATGCAAGGACCAATTCACCATCTTCGTTAACAATATCAACATCTCGACCATAATTCGAACCAAGACTCTTCATTCTTCGAGTATGATCAGCCAATACACTGTGCAATTGTATGCACTCTTCTCTTCTTCTTTCTAATTCTTCTTGTAGAGCCCCGAATTGTCCTAAATGATTATAATCAATTATCTTTAAATATTACATTAATCCAATAATTTTATAATATATGAAAACTACATTTTAATTCATTTCTTTATAATTTAATATTATTTTATAAAACACAAAGTTTATTGTATTTATATATTTCGTGTATTTGTAAAGTGTGTGAAAAAACTTTTAATTCATATTTTTCCTTAATTTTTATATTACTTTTATGACAAATATTTCATTATAATATGTAGTATGTGCAAGGTGTACAAATAAAAACTCAATAATATTACAAATGCGTGTAATGTATTTTGTGTATTGCGTTAAGAAAA